GATAGAGTCGCAAAAACATCGGTTATCTAGGTGTCCCCAGAGTCATTCGACTATGCTCTTATATAAGTACCTAAATCACCTAGCTAGGTATTTTTCAATCTCATATTAGTTATATGTTCTCTGAATTTTTCCAGAGACAACACTTTGGTCATAGAGTCAGCCACCATCTCTTCTGAGGGTATATAGTTGACTTTAATTTCACCTCTCTCCACTATGTCCTGAATATAGTGGTAACTAACATCAATATGTTTTCCCTTAGAGCTATTTGCTCCACTTTTAATTAATGAGATGGCAGACTGATTGTTACAAAACATACTGACCGGTCTGACAGGTATACCTAATTGTAAACTGTCAACAAATCGTTTTATCCAGACCGCATTACTAACAGCTGTGCTGCAAGCTATGTATTCAGCTTCCATAGTATACTTTGCAACACAACTCTGTTCTTACTTAACCAAGAAACTGTTGTTCCACCAAACAAGAACACATGACCACTAGTAGATTTTTTATCATCTACATCTCCTGCAAAATCCGCGTTAGTGTATCCTTTTATGTCTAGATCACACAAACCAAAATATAATTTCAAATTTTTAGTGCCTTTTAAATATCTGAATATTCTTTTAACTGCTTGCCAATGTTCCTTACCTGGATTGGATTGAAACCGACTTACCAATCCGACTGCATGACAGATGTCAGGTCTTGTGCTGGTCATAGCATACATTAGGTTGCCTACTACCTTGGCATATTGGACATTTCTCATTTCCTCAATGTCAGACTTGGTTTGAGGACTTATACTTTTACTAAGACTTTGTCCCTTGCAAACAGGTGTACTTAAAGAATTACAGTTATCCATATTAAATCTTTTAAGCACCTTGTCTAGATATTTCTCTTGATCTAGATATAATAATTTTGAATTTCTATCTCTTGAAATTCTAATTCCTAGAACATAGGTTGCAAGACCCATGTCTTTCATTTCAAATCTAGATGCCAAGAAATTTTTGATTTTTATAATCATATTTGGACAATTTCCTGCTAACAATATGCCATCCACTTATAAAGACAATATTGCTAACTTGTCATCATTTTTCCAGATATAAACACAGTGATCTAATGGACTTACAACATAGCCCATTTCTAAAATGGCTTGGTGGAATTTCAAGTACCATTGTCTTGAAGATTGCTTAAGTCCATACAGAGATTTCTTCAACTTGTAGACTTTATCCTCGTTGCCTTGGTTCTGGAAACCATCAGGTTGCATCATATAAATTTTCTCTTTTAATTCTCCATTGAGAAAAGTTGTTTTAACATCTAATTGACGCAATTCCAAATCCATCCTGGCTACTACCACCATTAGAATCCTTATTGAGGCAAACAGGAGAATATGTATCTACGAAGTCTATTCCAGGTTGTTGAGTGAATCACTTGGCTACTAACCTGGCCTTGTATTTCTCCAAAGTTCCATCTACTTTGAATTTCTTTCTAAGAACCCATTTGCAACCAATGGCTTTTCTTCCATTCGGAAGATCGGTTAATTCCCAAACATCATTTTTCTTGATCGAGTCAAGTTCTTCATTCATTGCCTCAAGCCATTGTGTAGCATAATTGCTACTCATTGCTTCTTTATAACTAGTAGGATCATCTACTAAGTTATTAAGTTCTTCAACTTGAAAAACATAATGATCTTTCAAAAACGTAGATGGACGTCTTGCTCTCTTACTCCCACTTATCTCAGGATTCGAAGCAGGTAAAACAACGTCATGTAGTTTGCGTTTGCTCCCACTATTAGATGGTTCAGGAAGAATATGTGGACTGGGTGATAAAGAAGGAAGAGAAAAATCCTGAGAGATTTCAGAGAGCAATTCAATTTGTTCAACAGGAGTAACAAGATTAGTGGATTCAAGAAAAATAGCATTTCTACTTTCTATTAATCCGCGTTCGGGATGGTAAAAACGATAACCACTCCCATTTTCGACATAACCAATAAACTTGCATTCCCAAGTTTTGCTTCCCAATTTATCCCTTAAAGGTTTGGGAATAAGTACATGTGCCTTACATCCCCAAACTTTGAGATTTAGAACATTAGGTTTAGTTCCATGCCAGCATTCGTAAGGAGTTAGAGGTTCGGCTTTTGTTTCGACTCTATTTAAGATGTACGCAACGGTGGACAAGGCTTCCCCCAAAAAATGAATAGGAAGATCAGCATAAGCCATCATAGACCTTGTCATTTCCATGAGAGTACGATTTCGTCTTTCTGCGACCCCATTTTGTTGTGGTGTGTATGGCATTGTAAACAAATGTTTGACGCCATTGTCCTTGCAAAAAAAATCCATAGCTTCATACTCGCCATCTCTATCATTATTCAAGTGTTTAATGGACCGACCAAGTTGCTTTTCTACCTCTAATTTATATTCTTTAAACTTGTCAATAGTTTCTATTTGTGTTTAAGAAGGTAGATATGTCCATTTCTTGAATAATCATTAGTGAAAGTAATAAAGTATTCCATGTCTCAATGAGTTTTAGTTCTTAAAGGGCTACAAATGTCCGAATGAATTATTTCAAGTAATTCCAATGATTTCCAATGTTTAAAAAATGGCTTGCTAGTCATTTTACCTTTGATACATGGTTCACATATATCAAAATCATCGGAACATACTTTATTAGTTTTGCGTAAATTAAAGTAAAAAATTATTCTGAACACTTTTCGTGTTTTGAACTTTTCCAAAAAAAAATCATCTTAGGGTTCTTTCTTTTCATTTTCAGTTTCAGATTTTTCGGTTGCATTCCGTCTAGGTTCTTCTATCAAGTTTCTCTCTCAACCTGTTCAGTTTCTATTAAATTTTTCTAAATTTTCTTTTAGGAATTATGAAGACAGACACATATGGCCCAAATTACCACCCAGTGTAATGCTATGGTATACATTTGATTTCTTTGCATCTTGTAGGTTAGTGTTGACTACCTGACAAAGCCTATTGATGTTTTCAAGGAGATGTGCCGGATTCTTAAGCCTGGTGGCCTTGCTATAATTAGGTGATGATTTGTGCATTTTGAAATAAGTTTAAAAAGAAAAGTAATTAAAAAAATATATATATTTAACTCATCTTTTTATAATGTTCCTTGAAACCTTGATTGCGGGCTATATATAGAGGCCTCACTATCTTATTTCAAAAAGGCATGAAAAGAGTAGAAATTGAATCTGACTCTGAACTTGCAATAAATCAAATACAGAATGGTCCAAATACCAATTCTCCATACAAAGCTCTGATAGAAGATGCAAGGTTCCTTCTGAAAAGATGTGATTGCCTTCTGCGACATACACCAAGGGAGGGCAACATATGTGTTGATAAGCTTGCAAACCTAGGTGTGGAGCAAAGTGAACATGTAGTACTGCTTGAGGACCCTCCTGAAGAGGTGAAGAATCTGGTCATAGAGGATATGACTGGAGTTAGTGTGCTAAGAAACTAGATCTTATTCTATCTGTAGTATTTGTTCTATTTTCTTTTTCTGTAATCTGAACTTCCTTTGAATCAAAAATATATATATATATATATATATATAATGTATAATTGAAATCAAACATGGTGGCCAATCCTTTGGATTTACACAATAGCACAGTATAATAATTTTGGCTGGTGTATCTGTATATCCTCCTCCTCCACATTCAACAACTTCACTCAGTTTTGCTATCAATGCTAAGGAGAGAAGGGTCGGCCTGATTTTCCGAGGGCATAAAGCAAAACAAAAACGAAGATTTATATTCATAAAAAAAAAAAAAGATTATCTTATTTCGTATCACTATCGTGGATTGATATCAAAATAGATATCAAAATATATTCATACTAAAAAAATAAAAAGTTATCAAAATTAGGAAAACTTTATTCAATTAGAATGTATTGGATATGTATTGAATTAGAATAATGTTATATGTACTAATTAGTGTACTAACTGTGATGTGACATAATTTTAAAGGTTTCGGGTATTTATAATTTGTATAATAGGTGAGATCAATAATAATGTTATAAGGTATGTTGATACACTAATTAGTATACTAATTGGTGCAGGTAGCACCACCGATTGAATTAATTGTTGTTTATTAAATATATAATTTATGAGTGTGGTTACATTGTTGTTTATTAAATATATTATGTATGAATGTGATTAAGATTGAATTAATTATTTATTGCACTAAAATCTTATAAATAAGAAAAGTAAAAAAAAAATTAGAGCAAATTTATTTATTCCACTAAAATCTAATAAAGAAATAAAATAAAAATAAAAAAACTAGGGGCCCTATTTTGGACAACTAACATTTTGTGTGTGTATGTAATGTTTCTCATTCAAAGGCCACCAATATTTTGTATATATTTTAATTTCAATTGGGTCAAACCACACTTATAAACAAATATGGACTCAACAAAATATTTTTGAATCCTTTAAATTGGTCCTAAAATAACAAAAACAATTTAGGCCTATTTATGTTTATAATATATTATAATACTTTTCTAAATTTGGGCCATATTTTGGGCCGATTTTTGGGCCTAAGGCACAGCCTCAAATACCTTAGCCCAGGGCCGGTTCTGAGTAGATACAGAACACCTGGTCGACTCGTGTTGGGTGTTGTTGGGGTTGCATTTTGGTCTCAGTTCACTACCATGGCTGGTAGTAGTAGCCGCAAATCTTTCTTTGCCTCTGCTGGGCAAAAGGGTTCGATTGATCAGGTGAATCTATACTCTTTTGTAGTGTCCACTATTAGGTTTTGTTGATTTTCTTGATTAATTTGGTTTCTGGGTCTTCTTAGATTGTGAAATTTGATGATGGGTATTGAGCAAAAGAAGAAATTTGATGATGGGTTGGTGCCAAAATGGGGAAATACAGTGGGCAGAGTTATTAAATTTTGATTTGCCATGATTGTGAAATTTGATGATGGGCATTGGGCAAAAAAAGAAATTTTATGATGGGTTGGTGCTAAATTAGGGAAATGCAGTGGGTGCAGTTAATTAAATTTTGGTGTGCCATCCTTGCTGGGGTTTGTTGAATTTGATTAACTGTGTTTACCTGCTGTGTTTATCAAATTTTGAGGTTTATGATAATGGGTCGATGACAAAGCAAAAGAAAAACAAATTCCATGTTTTTGGATTTGGAATTTGATGTGTTGTTTACTCCTGATGTCAGGATTTGGGGATGCCAGTTACAACTTTCAAATGGTATTTGTAATGATAAAATTTGAGTTTCTCCCCTGATGGAAGCAAAATAGGAGAATACATCGACTAACTTGAGATTTTCATGCCAATAATCAGTTGGAATTTAGAATTTGTGATCCAATTTTATATTTTATCATACCAATTAGATTTCAGATTATTTTGTTTCACGCCACCAAATCTTTTAGTGGCCCAACTTCTTTCTGATTCATTATTGTGGTCACTTGTTATTGAACTTCTTTAATTTCATCAATTTTTAAGGTGTTGAAGAATGTGGCATGGCCAGAACAAATTCCATTCAAGGAAGTGGATTTTCAACGCTCTGACGAGTACAAGCTCTGAACTAATTTCTTTCTAGCATTTGTATTCCTTGTTAGCTTTTTGCCTCTCGTGAAAAGGTTTTCAATGACACTATTGCATACCTAACACACCATCACTTCACTAAATTTTTTTGAACAAGTTTAACTACAAGAATTTCAATTCCTGATCTTGACGAATTAGAGACTGCATCATGATCATGTTCCACGTCCACAGATAACAAGTTTTAATGGTATGTCCATTAACAAGCATTGGTTTGTTAAAACAATTGAAATGTTTCATTTATGGTATCTTATATATTTGAACCGATATAAGTATGTCCCTTTTGTATGTTGTATTCTTCCACTTTTATTTATCATGGTAAATCTCACCTAATACAATTTCATGCCATGTATGCTAGAATTTCAGTTTGAGTAGTGATATTTCATTAGAAAACTGTCACAATGGTTTAAATTTAAAATAATTCTTGTCAATATAAGTTGTTTTATTCGAGCTGTTCGCTTTAAATTGAATCTGCGTGCTGTTTTTCGGCTAAATGATTTGAGTTAGTTTTTCATTCTACAAGGCTACAACATTATATATGATTTTTCCAGGTCACCAGATAAATCATTCTATGAATCTCCACGCTTTGTGACACATATTGATGATCCAGCCATTGTTGCTCTTACTAAGTATTATTCAGAGGTTTTTCCTCCTAGTGAAACTCCAGGAGTAACTATCCTTGACATGTGTAGCAGTTGGGTAAGACATTTGTGATGTTTGCATCATTCTGGTTTTATGTTGTTGACTTTTTTTTTTATAGTATCATAACCCCATTCTTGTACTTTATCTAGGTCAGTCATTTCCCAGCAGGATACAAGCAAGACCGGATAGTAGGAATGGGTATGAATGAAGAAGAGCTTAAACGGAATCAAGTGAGATCATGCTTGTTATATCATTCCAATAATCCTTAATGTCAGTTTTTAGTGTGCACATATCAAAATGAGTAGTCTATGTACAAACATTTGGATGTGAATTTGGTAATAGGGAAGGTTGATTTATCATAGTTGCAACCATCGCATTGTCCTTGACTATTGCTCCTCTTTTATGATCGTTCTTAGTTATGAAAAGTTCACTAATAAAATGTGTAGATACATGGACCCACCCAATCACAGTTGTCTCCATGACATCTTCACATCACCCTCATGAGGTCATGCGGACCACTCACACCACGTGGTAAGAAGAGAAACCAAGCCCTAACTGGGAGGTCAGGGGTCCTTGCCAAGGCAAAGCTTGATTATTTCTCCCCTCATTATGGGGGCTTTGTTTTATGTGGTTT